CTAATGCCTGATCAGAATTCTACCGGAGATAAAGTTAAATTCTGCTGTGATAAAACGCCATCCTGTTCTAAACCACATCAAGGATTATTTCTGAAACAGTATGGAGCTCAAAGGCTTTTTCTCTTGCAGGTTTATCACAAGGCGAGTTCCTTTTTTTATCTCCTGCTTTTTAAATACATGTTAGCTCTCCTCTCCAGTACAGGTTAGCTCTGAATGTTAGCGAGGCTTGCTAATGTAAACAAAGATGTCCAAAACACGTCAGGCATTGTTTCTGATAGCAACTCTCTGTGGGTCCGCTGCCGATTTGACGTCAGATCGGCAGCAAATCTGTATCCGCTCATTGTACCCCCGTTTTTAAAAGTTCTGGGTACGGAGGAAAAGAGAAAGGGTTTTATTTTATGACGCCGCGTGAGTTCCCTGACGCACCGGGGATATGGCGTTATATTTGTGCCTCTATCCTGAGCACGCAATGAAACATGTTGAGTATAGAAAATGCTATTGAGCGTGCACTTGAATATTTTTGAGCACAGAGAAATATATTTTCTCTCATAAAACTCCTGCTCCGTGCGCAAGCAGACCGCTGCACGCGCTCTCTCATACTCCCTCGCTCGTTCGACCTCTCCAGCCTGTGCGCGCTCAGCTTTGCCTGCGCTCACTCAAGTTGTCACAGCGTTACAAATGTGCCACAAAACCAACCAATCGGAGAACTCGAGAAGGTCAATTGTGATTGTCTGGTCGTCTCCAATCATATCTTCTATCTGAGATGAGAGAGGGATTTTCGGTGGCTATCAGGCTGTTGAAGTTCTTATTACACATTCATCGTTGACATTTTCAGGACATGACAGACTCGAATGAAGAGAATAGCACGCCACAGTGTCAGGTGAGTTATACATTTCTAGTTTTCTGATATCACGTTATTGTTTGCAATGCCTGAGTGCTAGCCGGCAACATAGCTATAGGGGTAGTTTAAGCAAACAGCTAACAAACCGTAGCCTACATGTACATGAACCCTTCTATTGATTACTTGCTGTAAGCATTAGAGGTGGCAGAATGACAAAACATGTTTCTCTCTCTATCACAATTTTGGGTTGACCAGAACCTGGACCAACTTCTGTTTCCTGTTCTACAATGGGCATAGAGCTTGCATTAATGTTCAACTAAACAGGATACCGGATAAAGTTAGCAACACACGTTAACCATGAATAGCCTATTAATCCAACGTTGTGGAATTAGAGAAAAAGGGCTTTTTAACGTGCTTTTATCCGGGGTGGAGGGAGTTACATATTAGTTAAATATAACATTGGGGCGTGTGATTGTAGTGGGTGGAGGTGGTGAAATGAGGATATCCATCTTGGAGTTCAAGCTAGCATAATATAGTTAACATCACACAATAATAAGGAAGAGAGCTATTGTGTGATACATCACTATTGATATATTTAGAGTGCATATTTGAGACTTCTAAACAGTAAACAAAAACGTAACTTATGAGTGTTTTTAGCAGAGCCATATTATGTCCTTGTGATTCTGTTAATTATTACCTGTCTGTATTATGTTGCAGCTCAGCTGATTTTGGATTGATGGCAAAGGGAGAGGGACTTAAGTGAGAGTGAAAACACAAGGTAAGTTTCAAATAGGCCAGCAATTTCCCATCCTATAGGTTGCTAGATGTATTTAACCCTTTCTCCTGTCTCCCTCTCTCAGCACAAGAACCCCAGGGGGATTCAATGGAGCCTGAAGACCTGCAATGAGACCCTCACCCTGCACCTGAGTCTCAACTCCCAGAGTTTTGCAAGCCTCTCCCTATTCCTTATTTTTATTAAACAGACGTTAAGCTTCCCAATGGTGTGGTCTTCGTTTTGTGAAAAATATGATTACCTCACATATTTTGTTGTTGTCTTTAGTGATAGTTAAATTGCTCCTGCTGACTTGAGCCAGCCTGAGACTGCCAAGGCACGACAGGGGATAGGCTCGAAGTTTTGTCGCCTTTCAGGTATTTCCTCGAAGCTGTCATCGTGTCCACTGCAATCACTGCAGTGCAGTAACTTGTGTCCTTAAGGTTTAATGTCGTTAGGGTCGTGTTTATCCCGGCTACTATAGGAGAGTGCAGAGGTAGTTTTGGGGTCCCTAGTTTCTTGGCCTTCTGCGTTCTCTTGGGGTTGGCGGGAACTCTGAGTTTGGACGGCTGCTGCATCATGTCATCTTCGATGGGGGCTGCAGGCCTGTCGCGGTATAAACTTGTGTGTCGTAAGATTGGGTATACCTGTCCTATCTTGAAGCAGTCATCTCTATATATCTCATCTATATCAGGTCCTAGTTATTTCTAAGTTGTAATATCGTTCATACATAACCTCGTGCTATCCCGTATAATAATTATCATCGGAGAATCGACTGCACATCGGTCGGTAAGGAAGAGGCGACGAGACTAACAGTAACCATTTTTTTGTATATGTGAATTACCTAATAGTCCTATCTTTATTTTATTCTTCATGAAATATAGCGTGGAGGCTTGACCACCGCCGCTTGCTGGTTTGGCGACAGTCTCTGGTTAGTTTCTGTCTGCATGCTTGTTAGTCATTCTTTGTAGGTGTCTGTTGCCGTTTTCGTGATCAGATTTCCTGATCTTCATTGTGGTGTCGTCGTTTTCTGTTCAGTGTACATGTAATCTGTCATATTATCTGATCTTAATTTGTTAGCTGTTACATTTGTAGGTTTACTCTTATTCTATTCCGGAATGTTCGTCATCTTTTCATATGTATCTATCACACTTGTCGATGAGAATGGACGAATTGTATATGGTTACAATCTGATTGCAAACGAACCGAATGTCTCGGACAACGACAACAAATAACGAAACTTATAGAAAATTTTGTTTTATAATAGAGAATTTGGACATACATCAGTCCTCGTAGTGAAGGATTACAAACTATATAAATCTCCCTCCCTTCCTTCCAAAGTTTTAAGTCTAATCTTATTAAAGATCGGTAAAGAAATTAAGTACCACCAAAGTCATTAGGGGGACCATTTAACTCCTGTATTCATTAGATTTACTGGATTTATAGAAATTACTGAAGTCTTTTCCTGTCCCTGGACCGTGTCCACGGATAGTTACTAACGGTTGACTGTCGTGTTACTTCAGTTTCCTGATCGTCGTCGTCGTACTACTATGAATTTACACAACAAAATCCTTGTAGTTACATTTAGTTACCTTAAGTTATTTGTAACGTATTCGTATGTACTCGGCAAACAGACACGGAAAAGGAGACACAACAGGACCGTATATAAGGGGTTACAAACGACACGACGGACCCCTACCGGTTAGCGAGTCTCTTTCCCTCATGTGTACATTCCAAAGGATAGGTGAC